ATATATATATATATATATATATATATATATATATATATATATATATATATATCACTTGGAAATTATATATCGTTTTTAAAACAATATATTACTTAAAACAATCTTCACTTTACACAATCTTGTTTTGTAAAATTGTATTATGTCCAACAATAATTTTAAGAGAAAGTATTGGTCAGTAGATATCAAGAGGATTGATATATGTTGTAATATGTCTTAAACCTCATGTGAGAAAAAGAGAAAAAGTAGGTTTTAATACTTCCAACTTCTAGCCAACAGTTGGGAAGTTCACAACTATCAGACCAGGTCAGTTCGTTTCTCAGATCTGTCCGGTGATGGATTGTGTTTTTGGTGGAATTTTGATTTTTAGAATTTCGAAAATTATAAATATGATTCTCTCTTACTCAATGTTTTAAAAATTGGATCGGTCATCAAACCGATGAAGGTACTCAGTTACTGATTTATTGGTCAAACCACTAGATCACTGGTCGAACCGCATGACTAAACTAGATAACTCGATTGAATAAATCGATCTCTATAACAAAATTATATATCTATTAAATCAGTCGAATCAGATGACTCAGTCTCTAAAAAACATCACAACACCTACAAAATTTCAAATTTTAAAATATCTTAATTTCACATGTTCATTTTTTAAATTCAAATTCTAAATATAATCACCACTCACAACAAAATAATACAAAATACAAATTTAAACAAATTTTGAATCGTGTCTAATTGCAAGCAAGGTAAAGTTAATCCAAATAAGTCTTGAATAAAATCTAATTATATTTTAATTTTTTTAATTATGAAAACGACATCGTTTTTCTGAGAAAAAAATATGCATTTGAACCGCCGATTTTTCAAAACCACTAGTCCACTGATTTTTTACCTGTTTTTGACAGGTTCTCGTCGGTTCAATATCATACCCGATCAAGCAGTCAGACCAGACCGTGTTAGACGACGACAATGTATCTAGTGGAGGGTTAATAGATACCTCTTTTAAAATCTCCGAAAAATTCTGATTTTGAAAAAGTTATTTTAACAAAGAGCTTATGCATAAGCTTTTTCAAAAGGTCGTCTATACGAACAATTATTGGAAACTTGGATATAAAACTATACAATAAATTGCAAATGGAATGAATATACTAAACTCAATTAATAGAACTTATATCAAGTAACACATTATCAATCATTTGTAACAAGTTGCTAGAGATTCTATTTCCAATGCCAATATTTAAAAAGAACAAACAAAATCAATTTGTCGAACACTTGATGTGTAATTGAATTTTCAGAATTTTCCCTTAAGTTGTGTTGATACACAAAAGCACTTATAATCAAGATTATAAGAAATATCAACACTTGATTTAAAATGAAAAACAATCTGGAAAATTTCTTATAATTCAAATGATAACGCAATGCTATTAGACAAATAAATTGATGAATATCAAAGCAAGTAAAAGCGATAATAAAAGAGACACGAGAATTTGTCTTCACAGTTCTCCACTTTCGTCCACGCATGTGGGTACGTCTTCCGCCTAATTCCAACGGAATTAGGATAATTCTTACTATGCAAAAAGTTGATACAAGAGAAGTGTTCAAGAGAAACTCCACAAACCCTAATGCTTGTTATTGATTCAACCCATTCTCTTCTTTTAATCTTGAGAAATACCAAGACACAATAGTTGTCAATTGGTTATCTGGATCTTGCTACTCCTTTGTGTACTTTATCTCTAAAACTTTACGCAAGACTTCAATTGTAATGTGTCGTTCTCTGGCTACTTCCTTTGCGTTCTTTATCTCTAAAAGATCTCTTGCATTCTTTATCTCCAAAGGACTTCACTTGGCCGCAATTACCTCTTGCACGAAAATCCCCAAATCAACTAATAATCTTGGAGGACAGACCCGCAATTTTTACGGATGAAGACCCCTATAAATCTCAACCCAATATCTTCGGCTACACAAGAACCTAATCAGACGTTATCAAACCCCATCTATATAGCACCCCAACAGTACATCGTTACAATAGAGTGTCAGTGTTTATGCATAGATTGGAGGTTAAAGATGAAGAGAAAATATAGACTAATTTTATGGTATCATCAAGTTATGAATGATGCATGAATGATGTATTTATAGTTTTAAAAATTTAGGGCAAAAAAGACATATTTGGAATGAAAAAGATTTTAAAAATTGACCAAAACAATCAGTATGTGTCGACCTATAACTCGTATGTGTCGACACATATGTCAAGTTTAAGATGTATGTGTCAACATGAAAGAAGGTATGTGTCGACTGAAACAAGTCAGGGGCTACATGATTTAAAACAATAGTAAGTGTGTCGACCTGAAAATCGTATGTGTCGACACATAAAATAAGAATTTCTGCAATTTCAGAAATACTTCAGTATATGTTGACCTATGCAATGTATGTGTAGACCTGAGCCTTCCAGAGGCTACAGACTTCAAAACTGAGTTGAATGTGTCGATTTGAAAATCGTATGTGTTGACACATGTAATAAAAATTTATGCAAAAACATGTTTTTAATGAGTTGGATCAATTTCGAAATGCTTTTTAATGATTCCTAAGACCTCTAATACAGAGGAGTGCCACAAGACATAGAGATATCGTCTAATGTACAGAAGTGTTAGTTTTTTCCATTTTTGACATCATTCAAAACATCTAATGACGAAATTGTATTCACAAACCGATGACCCTTCGATTCTCGGTTCGGCCAGTCCGAATGAGTGGTTCGGTCTGGTTTTTAAAACATTACTCTTACTTGTTATTAGAGCTATCAAAATGGGGTCGGTCCATAAGTCCAATAATTTAGTGCAGACTGGGCCGCAAAATACCTTTAAAAACACGATCCTATCTTTTTGACTCAGCTCATCGAGCCTATGTTTTCATGGGTCGAGTCGGGCCAAGCGGACTTTGGACTGGCCTATTAAAAAAAGATTTTTAGTGAATTTTGAGGGAAAAAGATTGAGATAAAATATGATTGCATAAGTGTGTCTTCAAGGGATAAATAAAAGTTAAAGAGGATGAAGATATATTTTCAAGATGATGTGATCAAGAAAATATATGTGAGATGAAGAGAAAATTTGATAAGTATTGGTAATAATATTAAATTACTATGTACTTTTATATGGATGTTGATTTGATGAATGTTTTAAACATCACTTAACTAAGTTTATGATGACTCTCTACTTATGTTATGTAGCTTTTATCCATTACATCCCTTTTTATAAAATTAAAATTATAATATTAAAATACGGGTCGGGTTGGTCCATCGGGCTGCACGGACCTTTGAAAAATGAGTCGGGCTCATTTTCTATAACCCACTAAGTAATCTGATCGGACCGGACCAGTCCATTTAAACAATTTGACCCACCTGACCGGAGCAGACTAGGCCGGACCAGCCCATTTGACAATTTTACTTGTTGTATGCAAGAGTTGCATAAGGTGTAGAAATCATTGTGAGAAGTAAGAGTAGAAATTCCTATGATTTTATTCGTTGAGGTTGATAGTCTTTGAAATTATAAAAAGAGTTTGGGAAAGACTTTAAACACTATAGATTTGTGTAATTCATATATTGAGAATTAAAGAGATTGGATTAAATGGGGTAAAAAGTAAAATTTGTTCTTGAAAACTTTGAAGATTATTTTCTTGTAATTAATCTTGTAATCTCTTATAATAATTTTAAAATATAATGAATCGGAGAATCACTCTCTTCTAAAATAGATCAATTTGATCGAATTAGATGACATTTTCTTTGTGTTTATATCTTTTATATTTTTATTGCATAAAAGTTATTTAGTTATTCTCGTTATTCTTTGTTTCATACATTAGAAGAAAACAAGTATTGACGTGATTGAATCTTAATCTTTTAATTTGACAATAGAATGATAGAATCTTTTAACTAACTTTGGTGTAAGACCGTTGTTAAGTTTTGATACGGGTTCTGACATACTGTGGCATGTAACATTCCATAAGCCTTGCTAGACTACTCCATGATTGGAATAATGGACAATGCGTGTTTCTTGAAACTTTTGCTTGTTCGTAAAATATTTTACTGATTATAATTTACTCTCTCTTTCTCATAATGAATGACCTATTTAAAATAAAATAGTATCCCAAAATAAATAGTTTATTTCAATTTCTAATACAGTTTTTTCAATTCTACCCTCTACTCAATTAAATTTTTATCATTTTCAATACATGATTAGAGATATTATAGTAAAAACATTATTTTCTCTTACTTTTTTACACTTTTCTTATTATGTGTGAAATCCGACGATCAACATGTTTTTATATTGTTTGCCTTTGATATTTTTGATTTTCTAATACCAAAAGTGGTGAAACTTTTACATAGAATGCAAAGATTCATGCATAGCAATAATCTATCAACCTAAAAACATGAATGTAGTTTTTTAAAGGATTAATTTTGTCATCCAAAAAAGAATAGCAGCGCAGCTTGTTGCCCATTTATCTGCTATTTCTGTATAATCTTGATTATTATATTATTAAAAAAATTGATGAATTGAATAAGATAAAATGACAGTTATAAAATTTTAACGATGAAACAATAATAGATATATGATAACATGTCATATGCCTATCAATCAAGCCGTCTCAAGATCAAATCATATGATTACAAAGGGAAAGATATGATTAAGCAATATCATTGTAGTTACTATAGTTGAAAGGCTCGTTTCATCCCTTTATGCAGCCATGTGAATCATCTATTGGACAATCATCCACAATATTGTTAACAGTTTCCTAGCATATAGTCTAACCATCCATAAAAAAGTTACAACACTGTTCAACAAGTAGCAGACCCAAAGAGACAAGTTCTCCATAGTTTTGCAAAGAATTTTCCAAGCTTTTATCCAAAAGCTTTTCTCCGGCAATAGAGCTACAATTCTTGATGCTTGTATACATGTATATATATACATGTGATAACCACAATAGTCGAAGTGTAAAAGAGTGGCCTTCACTAGCTATCAGTGTTTTCTTTCCCACTTCCCTTCACGTCTGTTCTCTCTGTCTCTACGTTCACCAAGCTGCCTTGACTTACTTCCCCTTGAGCTATGTCTTTGAGACCCATATCCACCAGATGGGCCATCAAATGCTGATGCTAATTCGGGATCTCCAAAGCTGCCGGTATCCCCGGAGTCCTTGCTTCCATCAATATTCTCTTCGTATATGCTGCCACTGTCATCCTGTCGGTCACGCGACTGTAAGATAGTGGGCATCTGGCCTGAAAATGTCCGCGAGCCAGAAAGAACTATAGTTTGTGAGGTTGCCATTGATGAATTGGTGGAAGGAATTTCAGGCTGTAAGCTTCCAGTGCCAGCTCTAGTGCTCCCTTCATTACCAGATCTTCCATTGTCTCTTTCCCGAAATCTATCCCTAGGTCGACTACAAGATGAGAAACCCACAGTACAGCGTAAATCAAAGATAAAGAAGAGGACGAAATAACATTTATCCTTCTCAAGAGAATTGCAACAACAAAAAATGCAACCAGAACATTCAGGGAAAGGATAACTTTTCTTTGAAGATTCATTGAGGGAACTAATTAACAGCTTACCTGTTGTGAGTGGAGGAAGGAAAGTCACGCCGAGAAGGCCGAATTCCTGATTCTGCTTGCTCTATTTCACGCTGAAGTTCCCTCTGCATATAAATGTAGAGGTGTTATTTCAAAAGCCGCAAAGCAGAAAAAAGAAAGAAAAATTTTTTTTAAAGTTTTTTAGGTTAAAAAAATATAACTACATTTCAACTTAAAGATACTGCATTTTTTTCCTTCAGCAACGCTCTTTGTTGAAAGAAGATAGAAATAAATATATATTACAAAGAAACCTTGTGGAAGTAGAAGAGGCCAGAGAGTATGGCATATGTCAAAAAGGGTCACTGCAAGAATGTCACACCCTCTTTAAAGACCACCAAGTTGATTGTAATGATTGCTGGACCAACTCCACATTCCACAATGAAAGATTGAACCGATAAATCTATCATACAATGGCACAAATTGTTGGATGTGATTGCTACCTGTCACTGGTCTCTTCATTAACTTGACATCAACAAATCCCTCTCTCATTTTGATATGTGGGAGTTTATATATAGAGCAACCCACACAATTTATTGCTCATCAGGTGCCCATTTTTGTGTGCTGCTGAGATATTGACACAGATTATCCTCTCCGTGGCTTAAAGTAGTATCATCTAGCTTTGTTTTACTTCTTCAGTATTATTGGTCAAGCAATGACAGCACTCATTTTTAAGTTGATCATTCTATTCTCTATTAAAAATTTTGGAGAGTATCTTCTATTCCGAAAAACATCCACTTTAGGGACTTACATTTGCAGTTAATAATTATTTCCCTAGATTCCTGTAGTTAGAAAATTGTTAATCATGTTTTATATATTTGATCATGCTAAGGAATTCCTTGAGTGATTTAGAAATCTTTCACTGGAGGAGATTGTTTGTTATTACTGATTATAAATTTATAATCAACTCTCTGAAGCAATTTAAAAAGCAGATATTCAAGCTTAGAAATTGTGGATGTGTTTCATAACTTCCAATGATCAATTGCCATAAATTTTTACCAAGAACTCCTTGGTTCAATTATGCATGGAACTGCATTCGGTTTGACTGGTAGCATACTAGCATTTGAACACAAGTTTAGCAAGTCTCAATGAGCCAGGCTTGTACTAGTAGTGCAACACCTAAAACTAAATTAGTAGTTTAATTAAGTTTTTGAAATCAAAAGAATTATAACACAATTGAGAACAAACTCCTGTTTTATGTGTGATTACCTGTGCTTGTTTCTCTTTCTCCATATCCAGATTGTGACGCAGTTCCCTTGTTTTAGCACGCTCTATTTCTAATAACTTTTGTCTTTCCATCTCTTTCTCCATTTCAGCCACTCTCTCTCTAATTATTTATTGGACAATGCTCAGTTGGTCAATACAAAAAATAAATAAAACTTGAAACGGGCAGAAAATCCTCAGTAAGGAGCCAATACCTATCAAGTTCTTGCAGAATTTCTGCTTCCCGTAAAGCTGCTTCTTCCAAATATTTTTGACGGTCATGTCTCATAAGTAGTTTCTTTTGCCTACGGGCTAGGATATCTTCTTTAAGTTTGGACTTTTCTCTGATAACATACAAGTAAAACAAAATTTCAAATACTTTAGCAACAAGTTTTCAAACACTTCATTTCATACCTACGGACATACAAATGCAGTAAGTGTATGAAGGAAACAATTAGCATTCTTTTCCAAGAGGAAAAAATATAATTTATAATCACTTACATGGTATGAATGCATTCTCTGATCTGCTGAAGCCTTGAAACATCCTTTCCGCTGGCTGTGAAATAGTTAAAGTGGAAGAGGGTACTCAGCAAGTAAGGAATTGTAAAATGTTTCCACACGACCCCAAAATAGCTACGAAAACTTTTGCCTTAGTTGCAAAAAACTTCATTTTATATAGAGCAGAAAGAACTTACAGGGTAGACTTGGAATTTGATTCCAGTCTTTGGAATCCTCCATTTGTTCGGGTAATGCATGTTCCTTCTGTATGATGTCTAGTTCCAACTTAGCCTCCTCTAGCTCCTACAAAATATTCAAATATATGTAAAAAATCTGATTAGATTTAAAAATAATGCATTATTAGGGTTAGTGACCTCTCATACCATATCATCTTCGTTAATTTTTGTTGAGAATACATCAAAGTATGAGTGAACCGCTGTCAAGTTGCCAAGAACCTATTGCAAATAAATTATGTTAAAAAGGATGAAATAAAATGTCACCATTACCAAGTTAAATGTGTGACAAGGGAAAGCCAGTAATGTTTACGGGATGGTCATATATGAAACAGACCAAATTAAGTATTCATAAATTGGAAGAGGAAGGTTCTGATTTAAGTTTTTGAAGCTGTTATGTTATTGTAACAAGATAAAGATAAGACTGTCACTGTTAACTACAAAAGCATTCACGACCCTTCAGCTATCAGTATATGCTTTTGACAGACCTGGTAACTTAAGCATCAGCTATCAGCATATGCTTTTGGCAGACCTGGTATCTTAAACAGGTTTGGCCTGTGCTTTGTGCACATTTCAAACACAAAAGGTTCAAGCAGGAAGAGACACGTTAGATATCATAAAACATTTATTTTGTGAATATTTAATATGTTTTAACACAACACTCTAATCTTCTGGGATAGTTAGCTTATCACAACTACAAAGTAGAGAAAAGTCATAAGATTGTAGCTATAGTTGTAGAACTAGATTTGTTGTTTGAACATGTCTGAAAAGAAACCTGTACAGAAGAATTTCTAACAAAGCCTCAAAACAAAGTCGAAAGAAACTGATCCCAACCCAGACATTGTTAGAGATGTAATGCTAAATCACTCATGCTTCTTCACCTAAGCTTTTTGAATAGTTGGCTCATGACATGGTGTATGATCTCTATGAACAAGTGGTTTATAAGTCTTTCATTACTGTCATCATTCTTCGACTAAAATGCTGAATTGAAGTACACGTCGATCTTGTTCATGACAATGGACACGTTCACAATAAGAAGCTTACACATAATTGAATTTTCAACAAATATTGGCAATTGATAGAGTGTGAAACTCATAATTAAAGTAAAGAAGAAAGAAAAATGATATCATTTTTCTTGAACTTTAGAAAGCAAAAGAGCTGCAAATACAAATAGACAAAAACATATCATAATAAACCAAACAAAAGAAGAGTGTCTATTCACTTGAGTGTCTACATTCCTAAGCAGGGCACAAAGATTCTCAGAATTCGGGTTGGGTAGCTCATACCTACAAACACACTGTTACATCAAAATGTTACGCAGATAAGAAGAATTTCAAGAGCCTTGGGTCTTCCCCTTTCCAACTAACCACTCAAATATTTTCAAGGTTACCTTCGGTTTCCTTATTTTATTCACACCACACATAACTACTACTAACTATCAATTATAAAAAGAATTTAACTGCTATGTACTACTACCAATGTAAAATATTTTATAGTGGCAGTTCATCACAACGGTTGATATATATATAATATTTTCTAGAATATTTCTTAGTGTATTCTAGAATAGGAAAGAATATCTATGTAATTAATATTAGGATTTGTATTTTCTCCTATATAATGCATCTTCCGTTGTGCTATTCAAACACACGGTTTATTCAAATATCTCTTAGTCTCTCGTATGTCAACATAGTATCCAGAGCCTACTAAGAGACAATCTTTCGCCGTGCTTTACCCAGTTGACTAACTGTCTTCCAGTGAGAAATTTTTGGCAAACTGTGTCGTAACTCCGATTTGCCTTCTATACACTGCCGTGACTCATTTCGCCATCAGTTTTCGAAATTTTCCGGTCACCACCACACTGCCGCCATTGTCCGCCACCGTTGCTACTGTTTTTTGGCGACCTTCTGGCAAACTAATCTTACCGGCATAAGCACCTCCTCCGATACTGGCGATTTTTCCATTGCCTCAATCGCCGTCGTGCAACTGTTCCAGATCCGGTCTCAGATTTTAATTTTCACTCATGGAAAATTGTGATCGAGTCCGAACATAGTCTTGTTCACCTGATTTGTGTGATATTTTCTCTTCAGATTCTCATGGCTACTCCTCCGAACTTTACGCCAAACTACGATGATTTTTCTCAGGTGGTATGAGTATTATCATAACTCAAATTTTACTACTTCGGTTGCCCATACTGGTAAATTATCTTCTCTTGGGTCCTTGATTCTGGTGCGTCTGATCATGTTATCGGTAATAAAAATCTTTTCTCTTCCCTCTCTACTTCTGGTTCTCAAATCCAATCAGAAGGAATTGGTACTATTCAAATTATACATTCTCTCTTTGTTACTTTTGCTCTCTATGTACCTAATTGTCCATTTAATTTACTTGCAGTCAGTCGTTTAACTCGTTCTCTTGATTGTATTGTCACCTTCACTATAGTAATGTCACCCTGCAGGACCGGAGTACGGAACGGGCGATTGGCGTCGGATGCGAGTCTCAAGCCCTTTATTACCTCTTAGTGTCATCTCAGACATGCTCAGCCAAAGATTATCCACTCACTATCCATGCTGAATTAGGTCATCCGAGTCTTTCAAAACTACAGAAGTTGGTGCCAAGTTTATCGAAGGTATCTAATTTACATTGTGAGTCCTGTCAGTTAGGGAAACACACTCTTAGTCAATTTTTCAATTGAGTCAATAAACGAGCTTCGTCCCCTTTTGCTTTAGTTCACTCCGATGTTTGAGGTCCCTCACGTATTGTTTCTACTCTTGAATCTAGGTATTTTGTCACCTTTATTGATGATTTTTCACGTTGCACGTGGTTATTTTTAATGAAAAATAGATCAGAATTATTTTCTATTTTTTTAAAATTTTATAAAGAAATAAAAACTCAATTTGGTGTGTCTATATTCGTACTTTAAGAAGTGATAATGCTCGTGAATACTTATCCCAACAATTTCAAACTTTTATGTTCAGTAATGGTATTCTCCACCAAACATCTTGCCCTCATACACCTCAACAAAACGGGATAGCCGAACGCAAAAACCGGCATCTCGTAGAAACCACTTAGACCTTACTTCCCCATAGTAATGTTTCTCTTCGATTTTGGGGGGATGTTGTGCTCACGGCATGTTACCTCATAAATCGCATGCCTTCATCTGTCCTTAATAATAAAATTCCTCATTCAATCTTGTTTCCAAACTATCCTCTTCACCAAATTCCTCCTCGAGTCTTTGGATCTACGTGTTTTGTACACAATCTCTCCACTGGTCTTGATAAACTATCAGCTCGATCACTAAAGTGTGTCTTTCTTGATTATCATCGATCCCAAAAGGATTATCGTTGCTACTCACATACTCTACAACGATACCTCGTATCGGCCGATGCTACCTTCTTCGAGTCTGTTACATATTTCGAGTCCAGCCAAGTAATTTCGGAACCCCTTCAGGAAAGTACTCTCACACCTCTTCCGGAAGTCTCATTTCCCAGTATCCACTATCATTCTAAGGAACCTGGCCCAGTAGAAAACCCTACGGTTTACCCCCCCACTTCTCGCCTATTTCAAACATATCAGTGTCGCCAACCCACGTCTGCCATACCCATCCCTGAGGCAGTACTTGTCCTCCGATCTTCCGATTTCCCTTCGAAAAGGTATACGTCAAACATGCAATCCTTCTCTACATTATATTGATTTATGTTATCATCATCTTTCCCCTTTGCAGTATACTTGTTTGTCTTCTGTTTCTATTCCTAATACTCCAGGTGAAGCATTATCTCACCCCGGGTGGAGGCAAGCAACGATAGATGAAATGTGTGCTCTTCAAAGCAGTGGTACCTGGGAACTGGTACCTCTACCTTCTAGGAAATCTGTAGTAGGTTGTCGTTGGCTTTATACGATGAAGGTTGAACCAAATGGTAAGATCGATCAGTTTAAAGCTCGCTTGGTGGCCAAAGGATACACTCAGATTTTTGGATTAGATTATAGTGATGCCTTCTCGCCTGTAGTCAAGATAGCATCTGTTAGACTTCTTCTAGCCATTGCATTCATTCGACTTGGCCTCTTCATCAACTTGACATCAAAAATGCTTTTTACATGGTGATCTTGAAGAGAAAGTATATATGGAACAACCACCTGGGTTTGTTGCTCAGGGGAAGTCCTCAAATATGATTTGCAAGCTACACAAGTCTCTTTATGGTCTTAAGCAATCTCCGAGAGCTTGATTTGGGAGATTCAACACTATAGTACAACAGTTTAATATGATCCGTAGTGAAGTTGACCATTTTGTGTTTTATCGTCACCCTGCCCAAGGATGTATCTATCTTATTGTATATGATGATGATGATATTGTCATAGCTGGCAGTGATCAACAGGGGATACTTCAGTTGAAACAACATCTCTCGAATCAATTTCAGACAAAAGATCTTGGTAAACTCCGCTACTTCTTGGGAATTGAGGTGGCCCAATCTAGAGATGGTTTGGTGATTTCTCAACGGAAATATGATATGGATATTTTGGAAGAAACATGGTTGTTGAATGCTAAACCAACTGATACTCCTATGAATCCAAGTGTCAAACTGCTATCCAATCAAGGGGAGCTTCTATTTAACCCTGAAAGGTATAGGAGATTGGTTGGAAAGTTGAATTATCTCAGTCACTCGCCCGAACATTTCTTTTGCAATTAGTGTGGTAAGTCAATTCTTAAATTCTTCTTGCCAGAAACACATGGATGTTGTTGTCCGGATTCTAAAATACATCAAGTGTGCTCCAGGAAAAGATCTTGTGTATGAAGACAAAGGACATACTCAGATAGTTGGATAGTCCGATGTTGATTGGGCAGGGTCACCCATTAGACGATCCACCTCAGGGTATTGTGTACTTGTTGGAGGAAACCTTATATCCTGGAAAAGCAAGAAACATAATGTAGTTGCAAGATCAAGAACCGAGACAGAGTATAGGACCATGGCAATGGCAACGTGTGAACTTATTTGGTGTTGCTCAAGGAACTTCTAATTGAAGAAGCAAGACCAATGACACTTATTTGTGATAATCAAGTTGCATTGCGCATTACTTCAAATCCGGTCTTCCATGAGAAGACGAAACATATTGAGATAGACTGTCACTTTATCAGAGAGAAGATCGAGTCAGGCGACATTGCCACGCGTTTTGTCAACTTGAATGATCAATTGACAGATGTGTTTACAAAATTCCTTCGAAGCCCCAGAATCAATTATATATATATATGTAACAAGTTTGGTACATTTAACTTATATGCTCAAACTTGAGGGGGAGTGTTGATAATTATATATTATATGTATATAAAAAGAATATTCTCTAAAATATTCCTTAGAATATTCTTTAGTGTATTTTAGAATAGGATGGAATATCTATGTAATTAATACTAGGATTTGTATTTTCTCCTATATAATACATCTTCCGTTGTGCTATTCAAACACACAGTTTATTCAAATGTCTCTTAGTCTCTCGTATTTCAACAACAACCATTCATATGGATTACTTTTAAGGTGATTAAACATTTTTTTAAATCTAACTGTTGTGGTTACTTGACAATATAAAACATCTTAACATTGTCGGTGCATATCAATTAAATCAGTAACCGCTAATAAAATAAATAACTGCCTATTGCCCACATTAATTTCTTCCTCTCCTCTTACAAATATTTTTTATATCAGACTCCAACACATACAAAATTTGGATTTCCACAAATCTGAAAAGATGATGTGATAGTTTTAAGTATATTACCTGGAGCACCGATTCACGCGTGATAGCAAAATCTGGATCATACTGCTTTGAAGAATTCGAAGAAAGTACTTCTTTAAGGGCCTTACACAAGCATAATTTAGGAATTTGTTATGGAATAAGAACAAGCAAAAAACACTAATATATGGTTTATCTTAATTGGTAAAAGTGGCCAGTTTCATTGTAGAAGATACCTCTTTGTCCACATCTCCGTCTCTCAATCTACATAGAACTTGACAAGTCCTCTTTTCAAGGTCTCCAAGATTTCCATCTAGAAAAAAAAAAATAGAAACCAAATTTTAAAGTTAAAAGCATGCAGAGCTCAATCCAAAGTTATAATATAACCATTTCATACAGATATGACGAGGATGAAGATGTATACCACATTTTGTTGACGCTAAAGTTTCAACATTTTCCCATACAGTTTGAGGAATCAAGGAAATATCTTCGGGTGGTGAACAAAGACAGGCATAAGCAATAACTGCCAATGAAAGTTGACGGATAGAACCATCGTGTGATGGCTGTGCACTACGCAAACAACAAATGCTATCAGCGGCTATAAGAAGAGATTGTAAATGATGTCGCTCAGCAAATGGTATATAATTTGAAAGAAGAATCATTGCATGAATCCTTATTTGTAATGATGTATCAGATGATGCCAGCACAACAACCTCATCCCAAGTATTTGAAACCAACTGAGATAGAACATAATCAGGAACAGATAAAACTAACTTATTTGGAACTAAGTCGGTGCAAATTCTAGAATTTATCGGTGCTCTTTCACCATTCATACACTGACCAAGAAGTCTTCCCAAATGTTTAACTGCTATAATGCGTTGTTCAGGTTCTGCATGTCCTAGGAATGTACAAAATAGATCTGTGAGAGGAACCTCGCTTTCTCGGCTGTTATAGATGCCTCTGGCAGTCAAATAAGACAGCCATTTATCGCTCCGCAAACGCCAAGAGATTTTAGGTGCATTGCAGGAAACTTTCTTTATGGAAGAACATATAATGCCTACCACATTATCCAGGGAAAAGCTATACGGTATTCCGAGTAGACAATCAAGCATCAAAGAAGAAACTTCCCAGCAACTGCTTTCTTGGAGGACAGTGATCAATTCAGAGAGGCCTTGAACACCAATTCTCCAAGGAAGAGAAAACTGGTCAGATGATATAGCCGGTGAAGAAACTTGATCATCATCTTCAAACTTCTGAAATCTTGGAGAAAGCGATGTCAAACATTTTGAGAAGACAAAACACTCTGCTGATGATATTGTCAGTTTTCTGCTTATCTGACGATGAAGATTCCAACAGTGTTCAATAGCTGGAGTAAGTTCAGATATGAGAAACTCTACGTCTTTAGAAAACCCTTCTAATTCTTTAGAAGGACAATGACAATGATCATCAGCAGCAGCAGAATTGTTATTGTTATGTTCTACATTATGGATATCATTCTCAAATGAATGGTGACATATATCACTAAGAAACCATGGATTTGGTATGTTATCATCAGAAAGCCCACCAACATTCACACGAGGAAAAGGGGGCAACTGAAGAGGAATAACACCAAATGATGTTAATGAATTCACTAATAGTAATCTGCAATTATCCATAACACATTGAAATGCACTGAGATAATCATAGAAAGAAGCTGTTGGCTCTGAATCAGCAAAGTTCACCAAACTTAATAAAGACTGCAAAAAGTCCCTTCTAAATTGACAAGATAAGTCAGGGAAAATTGAAGCCAAAATAAAAATACCCAGTGCTACATTGTATTCTTTATCTTTCTGTTTGATTTTACTTAATAGAACACTAAAGCATAATTCCTCGAAGTTCAGACAGGAATCAACTTCTAATAACCTTTCATCATGAGAGACCTTTGACAAAGAATAAGAAATAATTGGTTTCAACAAACGTAACACAGCGTCAAGAAATGGCACATCACAGTATGAAGAACTTGAAAGTGACACAAGCACATGCACTAACATAGGTGTCTCGGGAACCACAGCTTCCATGTGCTCAACTATAATAGCTTCGAGTATATAAAGGATGATTGTTCTGGCATTCTTCGCATTATAACCTTTCAAATTACCATTACCAATAGGAGAAGTGAAAGAAAATGGCCATGAACACAGCTCGGAAAGCCAACACAAGACATCAGGCACAAGAGTGGAAGATACAGATCTTAGCTGCAAACCAACAGCCTCTAAAATGGCTTCTCCAAAAGATTTAAACTTCCCTTTCATATTTGGAAAGAACTTCCAGAGTTCAGGGTAGACTGCAGAAAAAGATTGTTCTTCATGATATTGGCTGCCTCGCTCAAACTCTTTCTTGGCTGAGGAACTATGTTCAAACTGTGAATCTTCAATCTTAACCTCTTCATACTTTTTATTGATCACATTATCAACAACGGCAAGATCATCAGCAAAAATGGAAAGTAAATATGTCAGCTGAGACAGATCAGATGCAAGGAAAATTTGATCTTTCATATATCCTTTGGCATTACGAGATACTGCCATCCACCCTAGAAATCGAACCAAAGGGTACACAGAACAAGAAAAATGAGAAATTCTCTGCATCCAAGCTGAAGGGGGAACTAAATTTCCACAGAGGTAACCGCTTTGAATGCTAGTTCCAAAATTTTCCTCTTCGCCTCCATTGCTTGAAGCAATAACCAATTGTTGTAACAGTAACCAACGTCGCTCTACCCCACGTGCTCTTTCTTCTGCCAAATGCAAATTACCTTCCTTTGGCTCATGATGAAAAGATGCCAGCAACTTGTTCAATTCTTCAGCATATTTTAGAATGATATCAATCACACTTTCTGGAGGGCAAAATAGTTTAGTGCCAGTGTGCAAAAAATACACAAGGCTTTGCAGAAGAATTTCATGCATTGAAATTTGGTCTTTCTGCAAACGTTTGATCAAAAAGTTACAGAGTAGAGCTTGGTTTTGTCGAACTAAGGTTAAAGCATCTGCATGTTGCTCATCGTGAGAAGACATCTTGATAACCTGTTCATCAAAACCCTCGGCATAATAAGAACCACTTTCACCATCAGATACTCTTAAATGATACTTCCTATCTAACTCTGCAGCCTCAAGCAGAATATGAAAGACAACTTTATCTCTTTTTCTCTCTATATGCGCTATTGTTTCTAAGTTAGGTTTATTTTTTTCAAAAGCCCCTTTTGCATCTACATTAGCATGAGACTGCTCGGTTTTACCTTCCTTTACGTTCAAAAGGTCTGGAAATTTTGAAGAGGCTCCAATAGAAAACATAAAATAAGGATTTACATGGCATTCTGCTGCCAACAGAAAAGCATCAATAGCAGCATCATGAGTTTCAACAGTGATTTCTTTCTGAGAATGCAAATCTAAAGCCAAGCGCCTAAACTCAGAAGCACGTAGCTCACAATCATGATAGTTTAAAAGTTGAAAATAATCTGCCTGCAGGTTGAAGTATTCAAAACCAAGGCCGGAATCTATGAGAACATTGGATAGAAAACGATGGGTGGAAGATTTATCCACCACATGTTTGGATTCCAATCTCACATCCGCATCGCTAGAAACAGAGCTATTATGGTTAGGAACATTAGAATTGCTTCTCAATGAAATACCCTGCAGTTCTGGTGGAGCAAAAAGTAGATTACGGTCTTCAACAAAATCAGATCTTCCTGCTGTTTCTGGTACCTCCGTTTTTCCATCAGACTCATCTTGACTATTGATCTTGGAAAAAGTACCTCCTCCATTAACCCCAGAAGAAAGAAGTGAAACAGATGCAGCTTCATTTTCAGTTGGTCTTAAAACAGATTTGCAAAGGTCAACGTCAGGTGGCAGTAACATGTGTGGTTCCAGTATCGAGAGAAGCACACTACAAAAAAAAAGTATAAGGTGTAAAACAACAAAAGAAATCTAACTAGGTTCTGACAAATTGTCATGTTTTACCAGATGAATGGATAATAAACGTGTAATACTAGTCTTAAGTCTCCATTTAACTTCAACTATAATAATCAAATAAGAATCCAAATGCACTGTTTTAGCATCGAAAATTTAACTATAATATGATTCATTCTTGGTCCAGTTAGAAAGTGAAAGATCAGCAACATATACTTAGTATGTCATTGCATATATAAATGAAAGAAAAACTGCATATCGATCCCAAAAAACAAATAATGTAGCTCAGATACGTGACACCATGCATTACCTAGGAGCCACAGACCCATGTCTCCATTCTGATTCCAAAGAAGGAAGAACAGCTGGCTTTTGTACTGCAGCATGGATGATATTTAGAGCAATCATGCAATTGTGCTCCTGCTTTTCGAGAAATGAAGATGATAGATCCCCAAAAGCTATTTTGCTTTTTGATACAGCAATAGCAGGATCAAGAAAAGGCTCCAGCATCTCCACAAGAAAGAGGATTCTGTGTTTAACTTCCTGTAAAGGCACATTAAAAAGAAAGAATATTATTTTGATTCACTTCTTTGTTTTTTTGGAAAAATTAAAGGTGCCATCTTAACAAATGAAGAGCTGAATCATTTGATCTTCTGCATATTGATAAGGAAGGATACAACATGAACATAATGAAATATAAAAAGACAACAACTGTTACCAATAAGATGTATATAAACTCCTTACACAACTTAATTTATTCTAAGAAAAACTACTTGAAAGGCCCTCTGCAGAATCAAAGTGCATAGTAGTTAGTAGAATGGGATAACAAATCTCCTTAATTATCTATGAAATACAGCCGTAGTTGTCAATATCTCGTATAGCAGCACGGAACGACCTTAAAAATGGGGCAGTGAAATGGCCTCTGTTTGAACTATTGTTCTATATATGTGTATGTGTAGTCACGCTTTGTTCTTTTCCTCCTCCCGTCTTTCATTTAAGTCATCTCAAACTTCTTCTCCATCACTCACTGAACACCAATCTCAAACTGTTTTCAAACAAAGACTTTAAATAAAAAAATATTTCAGAAGGCACTAATCAAGAATTAGATAATTGGGATACAATCCCAAAGGAGTTACACAAACCAGGTGGATGTTTCTTCCACTAAACCGACTATGTGGTTAGAACTGAGGAACAAAGATTTTTAAACTAAAATCTGTTGACAGAAGAAATTCATCTACTCTCTCCAAAAAATATGAGAAAACGTGAGCAAAAGAATATAACTACCAACACATCAGATGCGCTCAAGTAGGATTGAGACCCCTTACAGGAGGTTCTCTAGTCGAAGCAGTACTCTTCTGTTTAAGAGACATAAGACATAATTGTTTAGAAGATTCACTATTAAGAACAAAGTGACACCAAGAGTTACACTTATTCAATAACATTACATCATATAATATTTTTCAAAATCAACTATTGAATTGAAAGTTATTATTATATAGATCATCTATATAAATTTTGATATTAATCTATAATCATTTCATATGCCATCAAGACTTATCAAGATTAATGTTATATGCAAGTACAACGTTCATGTTAATTTTGACATGTCATGATGGCATATGAAATTATTACTATACTAGTATATATCTAAATATTTTGCACTAAATATATGTATTTCTTTTTTAAATATAGCTAAATACAAAATGTTAATATAATGAGATTTGATGTTCTTTTTTATTTGATTATTGTTGGAAATTTCGCCTTCATTGAGGTCCACCCCTAGACGCCTAATTGCAGCAATGGGTTTGCCTTTATTGCAGTCTCCAACACCTACATTGTGTTGGGTTTGAAGAGATGGATTTATTCCACATTTCTCAGAGATATGGCATGTGTAATGTTTATAAGTGGGGGCAATCTTCGCCTTACAAGTCAGTTTTGTATGATTGAGTTAGTGCTAACCCAAACATTCTAAGATGGTATCCGAGTCTATCCTATATTTGTTGCTGGGGTTCCCACATTGTCCACGCTTCAGGCTCGTTGAGACCTGAGCGTGAAGGGGTGTGTTGGAAATTCAGCCTTCATTGAGGTCCGCCACTAGTCGTCGAAATGCTGCCACAAGCATTTATATAAAAATTACTACCACAAGCACAAAAATGGAACCAATACAGGCAAATGAAGTCCAATCCCTGAAACCATTTGACTTATGGTCAACATGACTGGTAAAGGCCACAATACAAAAGAAATCATTGCCATGGCAAGTTTCAAAACAGGGAAGAAAAAAACCTTGCATTATCAACACTTCAAAACCAATGGGTTCTTGCGTGAGGGGCTATTTAAGGGATTAAAAAATTTAAATATAAGAACATTTATGTACTTTCATGCAACAGCGTGAGCTTTTCGAATAATAGTTTGGTGACATGGTATCATAGTCTCTATTACAATGCGGTAGTTAGTTAGATCCTTGTTCCCCCGTTTTTTTAATAAAAAAGTTCAATTTCAAGCAAAGGTACTACGGGCCTATTCCCTGTCCACATCGCAGGCCCAAAGTGCTTTTATGTATAGGTTGAGAAAGATATATACCATTCATTTGCTCTCAACTAAAAGTATAACAAATCAATTCCTGAGACCCCATCTACTATAGGTTAAATTTTGCATTGATTAGACACCATTTAGGGAACAAATCAATATTATACAAGGAGAACAAAAATGGAAGAGAAAAAGCAGTAGTTATTACTCTCGTATGGAGTAAATGAATACCTTATATTTTCCCAATATGTCGTCCACGTGCCCAGAAAGAGCTAGCACAATATACTTCAAGGCAGCGCGAGCACGAATGAGTGAATTGTGAGCATCCTGATAGACATGGAAGTACTAAGAATAATCAGCAACTAGGAAAATTTTAGATAAACAAATCATTCAACAAAGACACAACGCAAGGGAAGTGTGCAGTAAACAAAGATCAATGCCTGAAAATTACATATTATCAATACACGTGAGCAATGTGTTCGAACATGAAGAGCATAAATAAAGAGTAATATTCATCAAATGCATGATGTCGGAAAGTATGTAAACAAATAGTGTCTAAATTTATTGTATACAAGTTAACAACAATCATGTAAATATAGTAACAAGAAAAATTGTGATATTCTTATGCTTCCTACACAATTTATTCTAATGCCCTTGTCATAAAGTGGCAAGTAATCACGAACATTAATTCAAAAAGTTGTCAAGCTACATTGGTCATGCCTTAAATGCAGGGATAACTTGTCATTTCATTAGAGAAAATTTTATCTAGAGACATCACCACTCACTGAGTGGGAGTGTTAAGAAGCATGTGAATAGTATCAAGGAGCTTAATACATGGATTTCATTTTGTCAAGAAAAAACACATGGATTTTACCATTTCTCTCTTTTCGCCCTTGTCCAACACAAAATATGAGCAAGAGAAATAAAAGAACCTGGATTATACCAAAAAGATCCTCCAAAAGCTCCAGAGCAAGATCAACCTATTCAAATTAAGCCCACAGATGACGAAGCAGACAATGTTTGAATAATAATTAATGATAGACATAAGTTCATTCATGGCAATCTGCTTACTGCACCAATTTTGATATAAAAGATCTTTACGTAAAACCATAAGTAGATAAAGGAGCAAAGTATGGATCCTCAAAAATAAAACAAAATAAAGAAAAGTGAAAATACCAACGGAGCAAATAAAACATGTATGCTTCAAACCCAAAATAGAAACCCAACATACAAAATCTTATTCATTACCAGACACTAAGCCAAAAAGAAGCCATCCTAACAAAATGAGCATTGGAATTCTACAGTTCTACCAAAACCATATAGAATCTTAGATTTCATGTCGCCATCATAAGTTACCCTTCTTCTTACAAAACCATTAAAGAAGTTACCAAAATTGGTCCAATGATCACTAGCACGCCTCACATTCACCATGAGGCTGAATAATCAACAACGTATTTCATAACGAAAAATCAATAGAAAATATATACTCCCTCAGTCACATAATAAGTGTCTCATTTGAGTTTTGCGCGGTTCTTAAGAAAATGATTACATGTGTTGATTTTAATGATAAAATTAATATCATTTACTAAAACACCCTTATTTTAGTTAGTAGAGTAGTTGAAAAACGTGAAAGCTAATAAATAGGGGTATAGTAATGGAAAAAAATAAGTATTTTATTGGTATTCTAAAGAGACATTTAATTTGAGACATAGAAAAAGTGCAAATGAGACACTTATTATGAGATGGAGGGAGTAAGAACGAGAAACTTATTTTGAGTAAGCACCAAATAAAACATGCAAGTATTATGATGGGGATGATAATGGTAGTGATCTTGATAAAAACGTAATAATAGAAAAAACTATCAGGGCTGAAGCATCAATAAAATATCTTAAAATATGTGGAATCAAGTTCTAGCATACCTTTGCAATCACTTGAGTAATCCATGGTGCTAGTACACCAGAGCATAGATCAATCAGCACACAAGCAGCCCTAGCCTACAACAAAATTTATGACCAAATCAGCTACAAACCCAAGATAAACTATTTTATGCAGAACATGAAATTCAGTGTGATGGTTTCAGGTCTCATTTTCTCCATTTATGTGTCTTCTAATTCAGATAAAGCAAATAGATCTCATGACTCTTCTAGAGTTTTTCTATACATATTCTATTCGAATATCTAAATCATACAAAATCACAGCACCTGGCCAATAAGGTTCTTTCATCTAGTATGTAGTATTGGTGTTGTTTGTTCAAAAGCTGTGCCTCGTAGTGTTACATTGTTCTGATTTGGGATAAGATTAGGTGTATGGTTCCAATGAGGTGTACAGCAAATCGTCTATGTAATGCTGTGAGGGAAGGAACAGTGTTATAGCAATATAGCATAGTTGAATTTGAACAGATCGCTATTGTCCCACAATACACTAAATACGAGACTTGGTCAAATTGCGGCTATAGCAATGTAGCATAGAGGAATTCGAACAAATCGCTATTTTCTGCAATCCGCGATTGACAGCATTGGGGTATTTTGCAAACAAGTGCATTAAAGGATTGTGCATTATATCTATTATCATAATGATGTTCTTTGTTTATTTATAGAAATTATTCCAACCTCTAAAAAAATTCTGCATCAAAAGCTCAGAATAGCATCATACAGTTGACATAAGATGTGATACAGTTATGTGGATTACAAAACAAGCATAATGTAACATAAAATAAATAAGTTGACTTTCCCATTTAAAGTTGAGAAATAGCTGGTTGACTAACGTGAGATGGTGAATACGAAGATAGATAACCAGCACAAGCATGAAGAAGAGAGCAATGAGTAGCTGATGTTGCTGTAACAACAATCTACACACATGAAACATAAGCAGGAAAATCATGTTTTAATACACCAAAAGGAACCACATTAGAAACATCTAGTTAGGTGGGTCTAAGAAAGCTTTTCAAATATAACCTGAGATAAAGCCTGTTGTACAATAGGTTGATTCCACTGAGAAAAAGAGTTGTCCACAACATCAAAAGAATTGCTCAACAATGGGCGTAAAGCTATAAAAAATCCAAGAAAGCAAAAACCAAACATCAAATAATGTGGTTTTGATATTCGAAATAATGGCAGCGATACAATTTTACAGATAAGAAAAGTATAGATCTAACTAGATACTTGTTCCTTCATGTAAAATAAAAATTTATAGGAAAATAATCAAATTCTCTGATTAAGAACTACATTGTTTGAACAAGATACAAATAAGTGGAACTGACAACCCCCAATCATAATTCCATTTTTAGAACACTTAACTCAAATGAGCAAAAATCTCTCACTCTCACATGTGATTCTCAACGTCTAAATGTAAAACAAATGAAACTCAATGTTCACACAACAAATATAGGAAAGTATAATTTTCATATAAAAAACTAAATTAAGAATGAGCACTCTCGGAATTTGGGTTGGGCTTAACTCATCCTTACAAAATCGGTTTGTAAGGTGAGGATTGCCCTGCCCCCACTTATAAACACAACCCAGACCATATCTCCACCCTTTCATACCTAACACAATGAAGGTGTTGGAGGCTGCAATAAAGGCAAGCCAAATGCCGCAATTAAGGCGACTAGGGACAGACCGCAATGAAGGCGAAAATTCCAACAAGCACAAATCCCTTACTTTCACTAAGGAGATCTTCTATATCATAATGCCAAATAATAGAAACTTGATGTTGCCCTAATATTAATGGATAGCCTTGTCTTTTCACTTGGTGTTTTGAAGATAACAAATATTCATCGCACTTGCCTTTTCACTACTAGCTCCATTCGAATTTCACTCACATCGATATTTTAAATGCAGTGCAAAATTTCTAAACCTCCAACACCTCGGCCTCGCCACCCACCCTTTCCTCTCCCAAAACAACATGAAAAGAAAAGCCCCTTACCTTCTCTCCTCCATTTTTCAAGATCAAGTTACACTAACATGACATTCCCATGCATGATGATAAACATACAGCACTAAAATCAATGCTTCTTATTACTCCCTCAGTTTCAAAATAATTGTCGTCCTATGTTTTTTCCACACATATTAAGAAAAGTTATAAATAAACTAAAGAATATTGCAATTTTACAAAATAATCTTTATTAACTATTGGTTGTTAGTCATCGTCATAAATGTAGAGATATAATGACTTGAAAGTAGGACATCAATGTATAGAGGGATATAATGACTTGAAAGTAGAGAAAACAATATTAATTTAGGGGTAGAGTTGGAAGAAAAGTATTAATAACCAACCACATTGAAAAAGTAAAACGACACTTAATTTAGAACATTTTTGTATGTTAAAACGCTAGTTATTTTGGAATAGACGAGTGATTTGCAAACACTATCATTTTCTTAAGGAGATAGGATGGACAACTCAATTACAAAAAAAAATTGTATTTCATAATGATGTGCAAAGTGGCTTCATTAAGTTGTGACCCTGTTGCTGAACCCAAGAGCAATTTAATCGTAAAACTCACTCAACCTGGCAGCAAAGCTTGTACAAGCGGCAGAGCAGCCCAAAATTCTGAAATTCTCTCAGCCATCTTGCTGCAAAGAACAGGCTGCAAACTGCAGAGTGTTAAACAATGTACATAAAAGGCTGCAAATATTGACATTAAAATTGCCACAAGGGAATTATATAACATTTAATAGGCATGAACCTGAGCTGCACAAGAATAAAGAACATGTAAGATCCCTTCTTCCACGGCCCCAATATCTAAAACATTAAGATAGCTGCAATCCCAATGCTCATCTGGCATTCTAAACTCCTCACCAAACAGGTTTGAGTAATCAACTAAAGTGCAAGGACTAGTAAGTTCCAATTTTGATTTCTCCTCCAAAGGGTCAGTAAGTTCATTTTGAGGGTATGATACATTTTGCTCGGGATCAATGAGTTTCTGCATGATTCTAGATGCCTGGAATAAAGGAAACATACAACACATAAGAACAGATTAAGCACAGATAGTCAGATACAAAAAGACAAAGATAGACATTTCCCCAGTAGGTTAAAGTTTAAAACAACATTGAGTTTAAATATACAGATAATTAAGAGAGTGATAAATACCATTCTACAGACAGAGCCCAGATCACAATCTTTGTAAGCCTTTCTCAGCAGCATAAAAATTGCATCTGGCCTTAAAACCATGGAACGATATGCAGACAAATTGAAAGATGATGCACTTCGTGATCTCCTTGGCTGTGTTTAAAAAAATTGAAGGAGGAGGTGAGCTATACAGGCAGAAAGACAAACACTAAACAATACATTCAGAAAAAGTCAAGTATTAGAAAGCAAATAGAAGCACAGTTATTAGTATCTTATGATACATGTGAGTGGTATCTTGATTTTATATAAAACTAATCCCAACCTATACATATCCCTAGTGTGTACTTATTTTGGACTTGAAACAAATCTTGAATCCTGATTCAATATGATGAATGTCGATCAATTATAATGAATCTCTATTTAAACTGAGGGTAGTCAACCACTTTTTATCAACTTTGTATAGCCAACCACTTTTCCTTTGTCACTTGATTTATGACATGAATCTTGAATTACTTTTAGGTTCATGAATCATATATATCAGCTTATAATTTAGCTAGGTCACTTATTTAGTATGTATCTTACTATTCATAGGATTTGATTCACGATATGGAAAATAGTTTCCCCAATTCACGATATGAACCTCAGTTTGATAAACATGAATAGAAGTACAAAAAACACCGATGGAATTCAGAAATCAAAACAGCAAGACTAATGTGTACTATAAATGCATTTTGGTATTCAATGTTGTTGATATTTGTAAATATATAATGTTAAGAAATTTGTATGTAGAATAGTCTCACACGATTATATCGTTTAATTAGTTGTAATCTCTCTATATATAATAAAATCTCCGTAATGCTTTCAAAACACACGGTTTAACCTAAATCTCTCTTAGTCTCTCCTAATTCAATATGGTATCTAGAGCCTTCTAAGAGGCAATTCTTCGCCGTGCTTTACCCAGTTGACCCACTGTCTTCCGGTGAAAAATTTTCTTCTGCAAACCGTGTCATCATTCCGGTTTGCCTCACTTTTTTTTTTAAATTTTCCAGCGACCTCCGCCTCCGCACTGTCCATGGAAAAAAAAATTTGGGGGGCTACTGTTCACCGCGTCGCCGCCACCACTGTTCGCGGAAAAACGCCTTCCTCCTCCGGTTCCAGATCCGCCCTTGGTTTTCGTTTTCGACTCACAGAAAGTCGTACTCTTGTTCAAACAATCCTAGTTGTGTTTTAAGCCATGGGAGATGTTAATTTTGTCTCGTTTACTAAAGTTTCGCTTATCCCATGTGAAAAACTAACCGGATCAGCCAACTATAACATATGGGCTCGTGTTGTCGAGATGTGGTTTCACACAAGGATATGAAGAGCATCTAACCACCCAATTGAGTGACGTTGCAGCCGTCAAACTCACTAAATTGAAGAAAATTGATGCCTCTTTGTGTACTGTGTTGTGATTTTCCATAGCACCTAACCTCCAAGTGCAATACCAAGCATTCTCCACTTGTTATGAGGTGCGGCAAAAGGCCAAGAAAGTCTTTTCCAACGACGTTCATTTTCTATATAGTGTCATCCACAAACTCAACACACTGAAGTTGAAAAATATGAATGTGCAAGTTTATCTGAGTAAGCTTGATGCCTTGAAAGCAAGTTACGCAACCCTCATGCCTTACGCAAAAGATGCAATAGCTCATGCCGAACAACAGAGTAAAGATTTCATGGTCATGGCACTTAAAGGACTACCATCAAAACTCGAATCCGTTTGTAACCAGATTTTATCAGGTACTATTGTCCCTAACTATGATACAGTTAGTGAATAATTGTTGCGCTTGGCTACACCTCACGTGTTTGGCCCGATTTCTCCTCCATCTATTGTTATTCCAACACCAGGTGACACTGCTGCTCTTGCATCTCTTAACAACAATCAGAATCGCCTTCGATGAGGATCATCCAACTCCAGATCTCGTCCTAAGTGTGACTATTGTAACCGGCTTGGACATACTATCGATTGTTGCTGGAAGTTGCATGGCAAACCTCCACGGCAAGTAAATGCAACTCAAATTGATAACCCAGACACTATGCAGACTTCACCTTCTCTTCAAAACCCTACGCCAAGCTACGAGAATTTTCTCAGGTGGTGTCAGACTAACCAGACCTCTTATTCCACAGTTTCGATTGCACACACTGGTAATTCATCTGTTTGCGTCTCTCAATCATCTCCTCTTGGTCCATGGGTCCTCGACTCAGGTGCGTCTGATCATGTTACCGGTAATAAAAATCTTTTCTCTTTCTTTTCTACCTTTGATTTCTATCCGAGCATAACTGCCGCAAATGGTTCTCAAACCCGATCCCAAGGGATCGGTACTATTCAATTTCTACCATCTTTGTGTTACTTCTGTCCTATATGTACCTAATTGCTCATTTAAGCTACTGTCAATAAGTCGTTTAACTCGTTCCCTTAATGGTTTTATCACTTTTACTAACAGTGATGTTATTCTACAGGATCAAAGTTCGGGACAGACGATTAGCGTCGGATGTGAGTCTCAAGCCTCTACTACTTCTCTACGTCATCTACCACATGCTCCACCACAGATTCTTCACTCATTATACATGCACAGTTAGGTCATCCAAGTCTTCTCAAACTACAAAAATTGGTACCTAGTTTATCTAAATTATCCACTTTACAGTGTGAGTCTTGTCAATTAGGAAAACATACTCGTAGTCACTTTCCCGATCGAGACAATAAACGGGTTGCGTCTCCTTTTGCTTTAGTTCACTCCGATGTTTGGAGTCCATTGCATACCATGTCTACTTTTGAGTCTAGGTATTTTGTAACATTTATTGATGATTTTTCATGTTGCACGTGGCTATTTTTTATGAAAAATAGATCTGAATTGTTTTCTATTTTTGAACAATTTCATCGAGAAATAAGAACCTAATTTGGTTGTTCATTCGTACCTTAAGAAATGACAATGCACGTGAATATTTATCTCAACAATTTCAAACTTTTATGTCATCCAATGGTATTTTGCACCAAACATCTTGCCCTGATACACCTCAACAAAACGAGATAGCCGAACGCAAAAACCGATATTTTGTAGAAACCACACGGACTCTACTTCTCCATGGTAATGTCCCTCTCAGATTTTGGAGGAATGTTGTGCTCACGGCGTGTTATCTCATAAATCGCATGCCCTCATCTGTCCTTAATAATAAAATTTCTCATTCAATCCTGTTTCCAAACTCTCCTCTTCACCCAATTCCTCCTCGAGTCTTCGGGTCTACATGTTTTGTGCATAATCTCTCCCCTGATCTTGATAAACTATTAGCTCGATCACTAAAGTGTGTCTTTCTTGATTATCATCGATCTCAAAAGGGTTATCGTTGCTACTCACACACTCTGCAACGATACCTGATATCGGCCGATGTTACCTTCTTCGAGTTTGTGCCATATTTTGCGTCCACCCAAGTCACTCCGGAACCCCTTCAAGAAAGTACTCTCACACCTCTTCCGGAAGTCTCATTTTCCATTATCCCCGTCATTCTAGGGAATTTGTCCCACGAGAAACCCCTACGGTTGATCCCCCACTTCTCGCCCACTTTAAACATATCAGCGTCGAAAACCAACGTTTGTCATACCTGTCCCTGAGGTTGTACATGTCCCTGAGGTCGTACTTGTCCCTGAGGTCATTGCAGACTCTCCTTCGACGCTATCGACATCACCGAATTCGATCCTACAACCTGAGTATGATCTTCAGATTGGCCTTCGCAAAGGTATACGTCAAACACAAAATCCTTCTCCGCATTATATTGATTTATGTTATCATCATCTTTCCCCTTTGCAGTATACTTGTTTGTCATCTTTGTCTTCTGTTTCTATTCCTAAATCTCCAGGTGAAGCATTATCTCACCCTGAGTGGAGGCAAGCAATGATTGATGAAATGTGTGCTCTTGAAAGCAGTGGTACCTGGGAACTGGTTCCTCTACCCACTGGTGGAAAATCTTTAGTAGGTTGTCGTTGGCTTTATACAGTGAAGGTTGGTCCAGATGGTAAGATTGATCGTTTTAAAACTCGTTTGGTAGCCAAGGAATACACTCAGATTTTTAGGTTGGATTATAGTGATACCTTCTCGCCTGTAGCTAAGATGGCATCTGTTAGACTTCTTCTAGCCATTGCAGCCATTCGACATTGGCCTCCTTATCAACTTGACATTAAAAATGCATTTTTACATGTTGATCTTGAAGAGGAAGTATATATGGAGCAACCACCTGAATTTGTTGCTCAGGGAGAATCGTCGAATATGGTTTGTAGGCTACACATGTCTCTTTATTGTCTTAAGCAATCTCTGAGAGCTTGGTTTGACAGATTCGACACTGTAGCACAATTTGGTATGGTCCATAGTGAAGCTGATCATTCTGTATTTTATCGTCACTCAGTCCAAGGGTGTATTTATCTTATTGTGTATGAAGATGATATTGTCATAACTGGTAGTGATGAGTCGGGAATACTCCAGTTGAAACATCTTTCGAATCAATTTCAGACAAAAGATCTTGGTAAACTTCGGTATTTCTTGTATTGAGGTAGTCTAATATAAAGATGGTTTGGTGATTTCTCAGCGGAAGTATGCTATGGATATTTTGGAAGAAACAGGTTTGTTGAACGCTAAACCAGTTGATACTCATATGGATCCAAGTGTCAAACTACTACCCAATCAGGGGGAACCTCTATCAGACTCGAGAAGGTATAGGAGATTGGTTGAAAAGTTGAATTATCTCACAGTCACTCGTTCAGACATTTCTTTTGCAGTCAGTGTGGTAAGTCAGTTCTTAAATACCCCTTGTCAGGAACACATGGATGTTGTTATCCAGATTCTAAGATACATTAAATGTGCTCCAGGAAAAGGTTTAGTGTATGAAGATAAAGGACATACTCAAATAGTTGGATACTGTAATGCTGATTGGGCAGGGTCAACAATTAATAGACGATCCACCTCTGGGTATTGTGTATTTGTTGGAGGAAACCTTATATCCTGGAAAAGTAAGAAACAAAATGTAGTTGCAAGATCAAGCGCCGAGGCAGAGTATAGAACCATGGCAATGGCAATATGTGAACTCATTTGGTTAAAATAGTTGCTCAAAGAACTTAAAATTGAAGAAGCAAGACCAACGACACTTGTATGTGATAATCAAGTTGCATTGCACATTGCTTCAAATTCAGTCTTCCATGAGAGGACCAAACATAATGAGATAGATTGTCACTTTGTCAGGGAGAAGATTGAATCTGGCGACATCGTCACAAACTTTGTCAATTCTAATGATCAATTGGCAGATGTGTTCACAAAATCTCTGCGAAGCCCCATAACTAATTATATATGTGACAAGTTTGGTGCATTTGACTTGTATGCGCTCCAGCTTGAGGGGGAGTGTTGATATTTGTAAATATATAATGTTAAGAATATCGTATGTAGGATAGTTCCACATCGATTATATAGTGTAATTAGTTGTAATCTCTATATATATAATAAAGTCTCCGTAGTGCTTTCAAAACACACGGTTTAACTTAAATGTCTCTTAATCTCTCCTAATTCAATAAATGTGAACAAGGAGACACATGCAATAGTATATCAGCAAAAATAGAAGGTTGTAGAAGCTCACCTCAAAGTTAGAGGAAACAGTTAGTGCCGGTGACAGTTGACTACTTTTGTAGACTTCAGAGTCGGTGATATTGCCCGCATGCTTTGAAGTTGTCCTGTAAATACACAAATAGTATGTACTAAAGCAAATAGGAATAGGAAAATGACCAATGTGCGCGCGAACACATACACACTAATTGGATTTGTACTTCAGGAGCTTTTGTTTCTATGGATGCCAAAAGAAACACAGAAGAGAGTAATATGAAAGAAATAAATAAAAGAGAAGGGAAATAGAAGATAAACTCTAAGTTGTTTTAATGAATATAAATAGAAAATAAAAACTTATTAAAACTTTTCTTCACTTATTTGAATGAGTAAAAAGAAACGACTAAAAATAACAAATAACAAGTTTATTCTTTGTGACAGGAATTTGAATACAGGTAGTCAATAACTTATGCTGTTCAAACAGGTTTCCACGTTTACCGTCTACAATTAAGAAATTACAACTTTCAACAGATAAGCTAGACATATATTACCTCTAGTTACTCTCCATGTCTCTCTTTATGCACCTCTAGTTACCAGTTCTTTATTACTCATCATTTATGGCAATCTAATTGCACCTCAGTGTCACGCAGTTCATGGTGCAATGCAAAAGCAAATGCAGTACTGCAGTAAGTAGATGCAGGAAAGGGGAAACAAAAGACGAAGTGCAGTACAGAGAATGGCAACGTTAGAAAAACGGAAAATGCCCACACTTTCTCTTCACATCCTGCCTATTTTTAAGAGATTTTTTTGCTAGGTCTAGGTCCCATCCATAAAAATTCTCTCTATTTCTCTGTTATCTATCTCTTCCTTATTTTTCTCTTATAGAAATCTACTACCCATACATATTGTTAGAGTTTACAGATACATTGAGTTTACACAGTCTTTGCTGAAAAACATCAATTATGTTCCAGAACCATGTACGACATAGTTATTTTCCACAACACCAAGCAATATCTTGCTAGTCAGGGACAACTGCATGGATAATTGATACCATTGGGCTACAGTATAAGCCAAATTATCAATTAAAGCATTACAACTAAGGCCACTTTTAGAGGTTTCCCCTAAACTTCAGTGGTCTGTTCTTGTTGCCGAGTTCCAAGCACAAAACTAAACACAATTTAGGGATGCAATGGCGGCAGCAACAAATGCACCTCTAGTCTGGTTTGCACCGCCACATTGGGGGGGAGGCCATGCACTGTCTGCATCCACCCACCACAATCACGCTGCCCCAGACCACTATTGACAATATAATTTTAGAATAATGATGAATAAATATTACATGAATTTTAGAAACATTTTTGATGAGAAACTATCCAAATATCACCATTTCCACATCTAAACAATGACCCGAAATCTCATTTAAAACATAAAAAAACAAAGATAACATGAATCAACACCTATACTCATCATGTTTGTGTTTAACGGAATATTTCATTGCTAAAAGTAATGAACATACATGTCATTAGTCAAGAATAGCAAACCAATATCAGCAATTATTATTAACAAAACAAATCCAAACCAAATAAAACTTCCCACCAGTGACAAATAATTGAATATAAAGAGGATATAAAAAGCAAACAAACCTTCCATTCGCCACATGAAGAATAGGATAAAAAGGACCCGCTAGCATGGCAAGAAATCGTAGGTTAGATTCTTGATTATCTGGAAAGCTTGCAAGGTCTGTCTGCAGTTTTACATAAAATGCTGAATGGAATAAAAAATATTGGAAAGAAGGTATAATTATGAATAAATTAACTAAACTAAATTGTTCCCATGTTTACCTCAAGCTGTGGAAGAAATACTAGTAACCGGTTTGTCATGTCTTGCAGCAACTACAAATGAAATATCAGAAAGGAAACCCAAATAATAATAACAAAAATAAATTACATTATAAGCACGTTGAAGACAGCTAAATGCAATCAACCTGGAGATGCATATCATGAGGATCCTGTTTATGAGATAGAATGTGGGGTAGCAAGTAATTAACAACTGGTTGAAACTCAGCTTCAAGACCAGCCACAGAAACTCCTATTAGCTGCAAGAGAAGATAGTAAAAACAATCTTTGAAATGACAGATGACAACATGTGGAACACTATTTTTATATAAAAGAAATTGCATTAGAAATAGAAAGAGAAAACTAAAAAATGGAGGATAAGGAATACTTGAATTAGATAAAGAGAACTAAAACAAAGACAGAGAAACAGAAGTCATATAAAACTAAACAACGCGAGCTGTCCAAGATCAGAGCAACAGAAGAATCATTTCAAGTGCTTTGGAGTAGCAAACAGTTCAAAATGTTGTCAATATGTATTTCATGAGAAGTTTATCGACTACAATGTTTCTAGTTGTGAAGCAGGATATAGTATGAAGCATTTTCAATAAAATGATCGTGGAATTTTAGGTGTGCATCAATTTTGAATAATCAGAGGAATTTAAAGTACAGCTTTGCATTGATTTGCTTCAAATGTGATGGCACTTTTCCATATATAGAGTAGAGTCTCCTTCAGCCCAACTATATTCTTTTTATCAAGTTATGAAAGTATGAAGCTGAATTTTTATGTAAAAAAGTAATAGAAATTTCATTCAGAGAAGATACTCATGTGCACAGAGAAAGTGCAACATATATGTGTTAGACCCCACATAAAGAATACTTATAAGAGGAAGGGGAACCAATAAAGGAGGATAAATGCTGACAAGTAATAGCAGCACAGGCAGATAAGCAGTCATGTCAATGGCATCTGTAGCAGTTACATATCTATAAAGGCAGCAGTTATTATTATTATTAGATTAACAATTAATAGTAGGAACAGTTACATAACCTAGACAGAATAAAAGGGGAAACAGAATTGTGTTCTGATCATCCTGAAGTTGTGAGTGTTAGACACTTGGGAGGGAGAGAACCAAGCTCTCGAATTTTGGTGTGGGTGAGTCCTAATATTCTGCACTATTTTCTATAACTATTGTAAGCATAATATTCTAGTCCTTTGGTTGTCTACCAGAATTATCATCAATAAAGTATCCCTATTCTCCAAATTATTTTTGTTCAGTGTCAGTTTCTATCAACTGGTATCAGAACAGTTTCCTTCCGGAACTGCTTTATGGTATCTACACGAGGGGAAATGGAAGCCAGAGTGGAAATTCTCGAACGTGGATTTGAAGGGTTGTTAGCCATGCAGGAAAATGTGGAGAGAATCCTTGAAGATGATTGCAAGGAAAGAGCTGAAACTAAGCAAGTAGCAGATTAACCGCCTTGATGCGTCGCACACTGCGAACAACACTGGGGAGTCCGAACGACAGTGATGACGACGCTTCTGTACACACTATTCATCCTCGAAAACGCGAAGAACGATGGAGGAAATTGGAGATACCTGTTTTTGAAGGCACTGACGCCTATGGTTGGTTGAACAAGGTGGAGCGTTACTTTGACTTAAAGAAGATGAGTGAGGAAGAGAAATTACAAGCTGTGATGGTGGCTATGGAAGGCAAGGCACTGGCATGGTATCAATGGTGAAAATTCTCAACGCAAAATCCTACTTGGGAAGATTTTAGGACTGCCATACTAAGAAGGTTCCAACCAGCAATGATTCAAAGTCCATTTGAATTATTGTCGAGTCTCAAACAAACTGGGACTGTGGAGGAATACCAAGAACAATTTGAATTGTATGCTAGCCCGCTAAAATGCGCAGAGCCATCCTATTTGAAAGGAATTTTTTTGAATGGACTTAAAGAAATTATTAGAGCAGAATTGAAATTGCATCCAGTAGAGACATTGTATTAATGGACTATGCTAAGAGGGTAGATGAAAAAAATAATTTGCTGAACAAGAGTAATGGTGGAACAAGTTCTGGGAGTAAATATGGGTTCAGGACCTATAATAGCACAAAAACTGTGACATGGGCACCGAATTCTAGGAGTCACAACCAGGCTGCTTCATCAATTGGTAGCACTACAAGTGACTCTAGAACAAATCTTTCATCTAAAGGCAGAAGTTTTAAGAGGTTAACAGATGCAAAATTGCAAGACTAGTACAAGAAAGGGTTATGCTATAGGTGTGATGAAAAGTTTGGACCAGGGCACATCTGTGCAAATAAACAATTAAGGGTGATCGTGGTGAACGAAGGTATTGGAGCTGAATCAGAAGAAGATGAAGAAGTAGAGGAGGAAGAACCAACAAAAGAAGTGAAAACCTTGCAATTGTCTATGTATAGCATCTCTGGTCTTAATATCAAGAAGTCTATCAAACTCCGGAGAAGAATTGGCGACAAGCAAGTAGTGGTATTGATTGATTGTGGAGCCTCTAATAATTTTATTTCTTTTGTGCTTGTTAAAGAAGAGAAATGGGCAGTAGGAGAAACACCCTCTTACTATGTAGAAGTGGGAGATGGGAGAAAAATCTCTTGTAAGGGAGCGTGTCCCCAACTGAAACTCAGCATGCAAGAGTTGGACATTCAGCGGGATTTCTTCATCTTTGAATTAGGTGGAGTGGATGTGGTTTTGGGAATGGAATGGCTATCCAGTTAGGGAGAAATAAAAGCAAATGTCAAGGATTTAACTATCAAAATTCCATGTGGTAATCGATATCATGTGTTGAAAGGAGAGTCTGAATCATCGAGGGCAGCAGCATCATTCAGGTCTGTTTTAAAGGCCATGCGTGATGAAGGGCAAGTTTTTCTCTTAGAATACCAGATGTTAAAGGTTGGAACAGATTCAGCAATCTCACCGCCTAGCTGGCTGGAAGGAGTTATAAGCGAATTTGAAGAGGTGTCCCAAGAACCAAAGGGGCTGCCACCGTCGAGGAGACAAGATCATACTATTGTACTTAAGGAAGGAGCGAATATTCCCAATATCAGACCTTACAGGTATCCTCGTTATCAAAAAAATGAGATTCAGAGGTTAGTAGATGATATGTTAAAATCTGGTGTCATTAGGCCTAGTGTAAGTCCTTACTCTAGTCCTATTATTCTGGTTTTAAAAAAAAAGACGGAGGATGGCGTTTTTGTGTAGATTACAGAACCCTAAATAAGATTATTGTGCCTGATATATTCCCTATTCCCATTATTGATGAACTACTCGATGAGTTAGGGGGAGCAAATATTTTTTCTAAATTGGATTTAAGAGAAGGTTATCATCAAATAAGGATGAAGGAAGATGATATTCCAAAGACAGCCTTTAGAACTCATGAGGATCATTATGAGTTTGTTTTTATGCCGTTTGGACTTACTAACGCACCTTTCCACATTTCAATCGTTAATGAATGAAATGTTGAAACCATATTTAAGAAGATTTGTTTTGGTTTTCTTTAATGATATCTTGATCTACAGCAAATCTAATGAGGAACATCATAAGCATTTGCAAGCTGTTCTATTTGCGAATCTGAAGGAGCGCCAACTATTTGCGAATCTAAAAAAGTGCACTTTTGGCCAAACTCAATTAGAGTATTTAGGTCACATCATTTCAGGGGAAGGAATAGCAGCTGATCCAAAAAAACTAATTGTTAAGATGGAGTGGCCCATTCCTAAAGATCTCAAAGCACTAAGAGGATTTTTAGGACTCACGGGTTATTATAGAAGGTTTGTGAAGAATTATGGCAAGATAGCAAGACCGCTGACCCAATTGTTGAAAAAAGATTGTTTTCGTTGGAACAACGAAGCCCATATCGCTTTTGAGCAGCTGAAGAAATTGGTCGGCTGAATTACCCATACTAACAGTTCCAGACTTCTCCAAAGTCTTCACCATAGAAACAGATGCTTCTAACAAAGGATTAGGAGTTGTTTTATTGCAAGAAGGTCAACCAGTGGCTTTTCATAGTCAAACTTTATCGGATAGAGCACAATCCAAGTTAGTGTACGAGAGAGAATTGATGGTCGTTGTGATAGCTGCTCAAACTGATGGTCAAACCAAAGTAGTAAACCGGTGTTTGGAAACCTATCTGAGGTGTCTCACAGGGACTCAACCGAAGCAGTGGACAAAGTGGTTAGGGCGGACTGAATATTGGTTCAACACCAACTATAATAGCTCCTTGAAATTGACTCCTTTCAAAGCTCTCTATGGCCGAGACCCTCCCCATTTACTCAAAGGCTCTACCATTCCTTCAGTTGTGGAAGAAGTGAATGTGTTGACGCGAGAGAGGGATCAAATGTTACATGAGCTCAAGTCTAATCTAGTGAAAGCCCAAATTCAGATGAAAACTTATGCAGATCAGTCCAGAAGATCAATAACTCTCTCTACCGGTGATTGGGTTTATCTTAAACTACAACCTTACAGATTGAAGTCTCTTACTAAGAAGAGGAATGAGAAACTAAGTCTGAGGTTCTATGGGCCTTATCAAATAATCAAACAAATAGGACCGGTGGCATTTGAATTGGATTTACCACCAGAGAGCAAGATTCATCCAGTTTTTCATGTTTCCTTATTAAAGAAAGCCCTGGCTCCAACAAGCAATCAACAACCTCTTCCGCCAATGCTTTCCGAGGATTTAGAACTCCAAGTATCACCTGCGACGGTAAGGGCTGTCCGGAATAATGCTAATGGCTCAGCTGAAGTGCTTATTCAATGGCAGGACCTACCCGAATTTGAAGCTACGTGGGAATTTGTGGAAGTCATCAAAGAGCAATTTCCTTCATTTCACCTTGAGGACAAGGTGTCTCTTTTAGGGGGGAGTATTGTTAGACCCCTCATAAAGAATACTTATAAGAGAAAGGGGCACCAATAAAGGAGGATAAATGCTGACAAGTAATAGCAGCACAAGCAGATGAGCAGTCATGTTAATGGCATCTGTAGCAGTTACAGATCTCTAAAGGCAGCAGTTATTATTATTATTATTAGAGTAACAATTAATAGTAGGAATAGTTACAAAACCTAGGCAGAATAAAAGGGAAAACAAAACTGTGTTCTGATCATCTTGAAGTTGTGAGTATTAGACACTTGGGAGGGAGAGAACCAATAACTATTGTAAGCATAATATTCTGGTCCTTTGATTGTCTACCAGAATTATCATCAATAAAGTATCCCTATTCTCCAAATTATTTTTGTTCAGTGCCAGTTTCTATCAATATGCCACTTGAAAGGAAAAAGAATGGACTTGGCAAAGATAAGAGTCATTTACCCACAATAACACTTTCCTTACTTGAAAACAAGAAACTGCCGATGGCCATGTATGGACGGGAAAAGGAGGGCAAATCAACTTAGCAAGCTAGGAAGTTCAATCCAGACCCAGAAAAAGTAGGTTTTGGTCGATGGAACTTGGTGTTTACAAAACTCTACTTTGTTTGGATATTTTAATGGTAAACACCAGAGTGGTGGAGTTACAATCCGATCATCACCCTATCTCACTCAAGCCTCAGAAAATCCACTTTTTAAGAATATGTTTACATGACAGAATTCACAGAAGTTAGGAAAGTGGTCCCACATTAGATTCAGGGAGGATCTTTTGATAAGATTTAGAGATATTCCTTTTTCTGTTCAAAAAAAAAAACTAGACTTATTATACTGACTTTAAATGGAAAGAAATCATGAAATATAAGGAAACCATATCTGGGAGGTAATCAAAGAATGCTATATTTATTAAAAGACTTGGGTAACAAAATGATGGTTGATAAAATCAATTCTGAAGTGGGTAGAATTAATTCTAAAGGAAGCAAAAAAAAATCCTACCAATTGCATTGCAAAAATCCATTGAGTCTGGAACTCGCATAATTCTTTAAATTTACATGACATCATTTAAGCTCTGAACAAGAAGCTTGAATGCTTGATGCTTTCAAAATCATTAGTGTCTTACTATCTTACTTAACATATAACCTAAAGTAAATACAACAACTAAGCCTTATCCCGCTAAGTGGAGTCGGCTACATGGATCAATTTTCGCCATAATTTTTTATCCAGGACCATGCTTCTATCCAAATCATTAATCTCGATATCTTTCTTAATAACTTCTCTAGTAGAATTTAACTTCAGAACAATAACAAATGATGAAGAGTAAATATGGCAAAGAAATAATACTATACCTGAACAAAGAAAATAGCAATGGGATTTCCTCGCAAACAAGATATTCTCACATATTGACATGGAGTGTAATTTGTAGGGTAGGTCATGTCACGTCTGGGCGCTTCACATCGTGGGCGAACCTTTTGAAATGTCTCTGGCTAGAAAGCAAATAAGAACCAGTAAAGCATGTACCACAATATTATCCAACTTGGAAAAGGCATAATTAAAAGCATAAACAAGTCATATCTAATAGAAGAGGAAGAAAAATAATCAACATGGCATCATTTGCAACAAACAAAAAAAAAAAGTAATTTGACATTAATAATGCAACTTTATTAAAAACTGAAGAGAAATTACTGAACACTGCGTAGATAAGAAAATGGCAAGCACATCAAGTGTAATTATTTTTCACAATCAATTATTTGCTAATATTTATTTGATAAGCATAACTTAATAACGTTAGAAAAATTTAAATGACCTGTCTTCCGAGAAAGAATTCAAAAAACATGCATCCTTTTGACAATATCATGAGTTAGTAAAACAACAGGAACCTATACTACAAGTATACAAAAACCCAAAATAAAAGACAATGATCAAACTTCTTAAGTTCTTATCAGATTGAACATACCTAAGTTTCAACCAAAACACAAAAATCAAAAAACTGATTATAGACATTATCATTTATTCCATCAACCGTCACCAGCCGAGACCGCCATTTTTGTTTTTAGAAGGTGAGATGCAAAATAGAGGATCAAAACAAGTTGACACGTCAAAAAAATTCAATTTTATAAAATTTGTGTACTAGGAGTTACATATTGACAGTGGAACCGTACCATTCTGTCAGGTACATCTTACATTGCATCATCTGATTATACATAACAACATTCACTCAACAACAATCAGTCCAAAAAGAACCCACCCCTTTTCTAAAGCATTGACAGGAAGCCAAAGATGGTGCCAAAAATATTTGATAGTTGATTGAGACTATTAACATGAGTTCTATTGATCTATAAACTACACGTGAGAAGTATAGCATCAATTGGCAGTGGTAATCTATGAACACGGATACTAAAACCACGATATCGACACTGATATGTTGACACGAATAAAAATAGATAAATTAAACGTAAACTTAATCACAAGTGTCATTGTCTTTTCGGACACCGACATAGATACGCCTTTTTTTAGAGGTGTCGGTGCTACAGAGGTGGTAATTAATTTAACAAACTGTCAGCCACTAACCTTGTACCGCAAACCCACTGCAATTTCCCACTCGAGCACAGACTTGTTGTAAACCCGTATATGCGACAACAAGCAAGGCTCCTACAACAAAGAAAACAACAAAAATACAATTCAAGTTCACAAAAACAACATAAACAAGTATTTAATTAATCATATAAATTCGGCATGGTATGATAAACTCTTTTCAACTTCACCCCCACTATGTTGTTGGCAATTGCAAAAATCATATAGCTCATCTCAGTTCATTAAAATATAACTCAGCATGATAGAATATCAAAGTAAATTCATCCTTCACAACTTCACCACTTTATCAACACTGGCAAAATAATCATAATTCAAGTAAAAATGACATATTCCAGAAAATCCATTCAGAATGCTCTCAGTTTATTACAATCCGATTGTCAAATTTCGGCATGATATCTCAACTTCACCGCTCAAAGACACTAGTAAAATAACTATAATTAAAATGAAAACGATATACTCCATAAAATCCTTTGAGAATACTCTCTCAATCAGTTTAAATTTGATTATCATATTTCAGCATGATATCAGATTATCATATTTACCACAGCAAATTCATCCTTCTCAACTTCACCACTCTATCAACACTTGCAAAATAAATAATATTCAATGAAATACTCTCGGTTAGTTTCGGCTTGATATCATAAATAATTAAATATCACAGTAAATTCATCGTTCTCAACTTCATCACTCAATCAACACTAGCAAAAACCTAATATTACACTTTCAGAAACTCAATTAAAGTTGATTTTACAAAAATCGTTTACTAAAATTTCAGCACGAACACTCAAAAACCTAAGCAATTTCAAAAAACGAGCGAGGACGAAAATGAGAGAGAGGAAAGAAGGAACGAACATTGAGTTCGAGTAGAATCCACTCCTTGGTGTTGGTGGCGGTGGACCAGTGAGAACGGAGGTCGGAGTCGAGAACGTTGAGAGCCTTCTGCGAGGGAGATTCTCTGGACATGGCTTTGACCTTGAATTGAAGAGGCTTCACGCGAGGCTCTAACTCCACCTCCATTTTCTTCTTCTTCGTTTCGTTGATTGATCAATCACATTCACTGTAGTGTCACTGTCTGAATATGAATCACACTCGCTCGAATCCTTTTATATTACGACACTGCAGAGCGCTACTAGAAGACTTGAAATGAAACTCGCTATACTAGCCTAGCCCCAGCGGCTAAGGACTGTTTAGTAAATCTGTATTGTAGTTCATTTTTTATTAGTGCCATTTTGTTTTTTATAAGTTTTATAATTGATCAAAAAATAATTTGATTCATAAAAATATTTTATATTATTATAATCATTTATAAAGTCACATGATTGATTGTCATTATAGGATCATGCCGATCTACAAAGGCAACCCTAACTTATTTATGATTTGGATTGGTATATTTAATAAAAAAGATAATATTAATGTGTCTTAGAAGTACATGTTAAAAAATCTAAAAATAAAAAATTTATATCACAAAAGATAATTTAAAATATTAATTATTAACTTTTAATTAAAATAATTTACAATTTTTGTATTTAGCTCTTAACATGTGTCTTTAAGACACATATTAACATTATCCATAAAAAAATTAAGCTTAAAATTTTTTAAATATTTATTTAATTAATATAGGTCAATTTATATATATAGAATGTCAGTTTAATAGTCTTTATATAAAATAGATTATTTAAAAAATTTAATGGGAACATACTTTTAATGTCACACTTTTAAAAGCATTGATTACTTTTTTTTAACAATATATTTTTAATTGTTATATTTTTTCTTACTATTAATAATAATATAAATATTATGATAAACATTAACTAATTATCTATTTAGATATATTTTTTAATAAAAAGGCTAAGATAATAATTTAATTTGAACAAAAAATTAGTAAGTTCGTCTTCTCGATGCCTAATGCGTTCAACATATGTTGTTTTTCATGATTTTATATCTTCGGTACAGTTCTATCTCCAATGGTCTGTGATAAGAGGCAATAGATAACCAGGTTTCAACTTTACTGAACTCAATGATTGTTGTTGATAAAATCAACAAAAATGAGTTTATGCATACTCGTATATATGGGTGGAGCTACGACAATGGAGAAATGTGATGTTAAGTCTCTTGGACAGAGAGACAAATATGACATTGTATCTACAAGCAATAGGGTAACTCATGTCAGGAATCGTCATCCATTTATCTATATCATGCACATCCATGGTAGATACTCGCAACGCATTCCTAACTATAGAGAATGTGTCATAGAATAATTTAGAATGTAATTGAGGGTGTCGATGAACTTGAGAATTTAACTGCGTCAGAATCAAAGACCATAATTCTTCGCTTCATCCAAGTAGAGTTGCAATAACATGAAAACCACAATTTTCATCATCGCCAACATCAACAATGTCATCAATGTATACATGTAGGAAATCAAAAAATTAACACAAGTAAATATCTCTCAAAGATGAGGTGGATGATTAACTTCCAGCCAACAGGCCAACATACTTGACGAATGACTTCCAATTAGTTTTATGCATGATATCTTCGTAGTTTGACTCTCATACGAGCCCTCAACATACTCTCACTATGAAGGATCATTGTGCACATCACTGTCTTGGCTCTTTATATATTACATAAATATTTTAATATTACCAAAATAATTTATTAAATAATTTTATCTTTTCATATCACTAGATAATTTAAATTAAATAATTACTTTCAAAAATAGTTTATTAATTAATGAAATAATTTATTAATTAGTTTATTAATTAATGAAATAATTTATTAATTAGTTTATTTTATAATTAGTCTATTAATTAATGATATTAATATTTTATTACTTTTTAATAAAATAGTTAAAATAAAAAACATTTCATAAATTAATAGTATTTAATAAAGTATTTAATATTTCAATTATTAATATTATATAAACTATTTAATCGTTAATTAATAAATAAAAAATTCAACATCAATTTTGGGAATGAAAATATGAATACAAATCTAATTTTTTTGGCTTAAATAGTCTTTTCGTTTATGTAAGATGGCGTGTATTTGGTTTTAGTCCATATATCTTTTTCTTTTTTTTTTGTTTAGTCCCTAATTATGGAGTATTACATAAAAGATTTTGAATCAACAGTGCAACTCCAAAACTCTTGACAATATTGAAGTATTTAACTAGTAAGTGTAACACCCCAATTTTATCCCAAGCAATTATGCAGAATAAATCAGAGTTATAAAATTTCAATCATACAAATGAATCGGGACGTCACAAATTCTTCTAACAAAATTCATTGCATTCATCGTGGATATATAACACTTTTTAAAACATAGGGTGAACCATCAACATAACATCTTTAATCAAATAATTCAACATCTACGCAGCGGAATTCTTCAATAACATCTTTAAACAAAACAGCAACTATGAAATATCTCATATTCAATAATCATTAATTTAAAGTTCAACAACTGAAAAACAACAGTCAACACAGCAAGCGTTCATCCCCCCGAGTGTTACATATCAGAGCAATGACACCAACTCGAACCATTGAAGGTATACAGCCTTCACTCTCAATTACCTGCACATTACCAACATAAGGGCAACATTCAAACAGAAGGGGTGAGATATCTAACAATATAATAAAGCGCATGATAATTAATATATTAATTAGATCAACTGCATCACCACTTCTCGTCTCATAATCAACAACAATCTCAGCAATAATATACATTCATCAACATCAAAATACACTTCTTTATGAAATCATATAATGCGACTCAATAATATGCAAATGCATGTGGTATCATTGGAGCAGAACTCCCATCTCAAAAATTTGCCAATTAATAGAGGCATAAACAAGGCATAGCCTTCATCTCAAAATTTGTCAATCCAGGTCATCTCAACGAGCATAAGCTCCATCTCAAAAATGCAATGTATGCGACTCAACCATGAATATAATGATAACACCCAAGTTAACAACATCTCAAATCATCTCAAAATAACATCTCAAAAACATCTCAATTTATCATCTCAAAATATCTCTATTTATCATCTTAAAAAACATCTCAATTTATCATCTCAAAAACATCTCAATTTATCATCTCAAAAACATCTCAATTTATCATCTCAAAACATCTCAAATAATCAAAATAACTTATCAAACATCATTTGTTTATAAATCATCAAACATAATTTATTTATTAATAACTTCTCATTATAACTCAGCAGCATTTTAATATCCACAGTAAAACCACACTGTCATTTTACAGCTCTAAAGTCAAGACTGTCACTTTCCTACTGTTATGGTTCAAACAACAGCTTATAAGCATCTAACTTCATTGTTCTGCACAAAACAACATAAAGGTCATCCAACTTCTGACCATGCAACCTCTAACCAATGTTATTTCTAAGTACATAACTTCTGACTGATGCAACCTCTGATCAAATGCAACTTCTGATCATCTCATCTTCTGACCACTCAACCTCTGACCAGATACAACTTCTGATCATCCCATCTTCTGACCATCCAACCTATGATCATTACATCTTCTGATCATTCCATCTTCTGACCACCCAACCTCTGATCATTACATCTTTTGACCACTCAAACTCTGATCATGACATCTTCTGACCACTCAACCTCTGACCAGATACAACTCCTAATATCAGAACTTCTATTTTCTAATACTTCCACGCAACTTCTAACAACCTACGTCTAGCATCAGAACTGTTATTTTTTATTCGTCCTATTGTTATAATTCCTTGCCTGCTATCAATCTAACCAAGGACAGCATTAACCAATTTCTATTCTCCAATTTAATTCATTAGTCCTACTATAGTAGCGCCTATTATCAATTGCTAAATTCTGCGTTTTCTGTACTGCAATATTTCTACGTTTCTTCTTCCCTGTTATCAATACAGATTCATACATAAAGCCTTAAACCTAATCTAATCGTGACAATTTATCACCCATAAATTACTTTATGATTCTACAGCAATTAAACAACATCAAAACATCAGTATTCATCCAAAAATTCATCGATTCTCATCACAAAACAATCATATAATTTCAATTCAGGAACAAAACAACAACCACCTCTAACCCCACATATCAATCATCATAAACCCAATTATAGAGTCAGAACTCCACCCTTACCTTGGATTAAAGGTCGCTCTACAATTTCCGGTTGAATCCTCGTGCTTGCCGTTTTCCACTTCTCTAGCAGCTTGCACGTCCTCTTCCAAATCCTTATTTCTTTCTACTGCTTCTTTCTTCTATTCCAACAACAAATAACAAAATAACCCTATTATTCTATTATTCCTTATTGGGCTTAAAACCAACACACTCCCTTATTACTTCTACTCTCTCAAAATAAGCCCACATTAAATAATATTACACTTCTAATATTATTTTACCACATAATATTATATCTCTAATATTATTTCTCCTCTTAATAAAATAAATCCAATTAATTATAACATATCTTCACAAATATTCCAAAAATAATTTAATTAAATAATTAATTAAGTTACGGGCGTTACAGTAAGAAAGTAAGGTTGATAAATTTATGAATCTAATAATAGAGAAACACTTCTACTATTGAAAAATATGAACAAATTATAAATTTAGAGGTTGGAGATGAGTTTGAAAGTGAGGAAAATGAATGATGTTGTGCATGATAAAATAGAGGTTGGGGACGAGTTTGAAGGTGAGTAAAATGGAGAATGAGACAAAGATAAATTTAGTTTATTATTGACGCACTTATGTAATAACGCACTTATGTAATATATATTTGTATTGCAATGTTGTTAATGAGATGATAGGTTGGCCTAATGGATAGAAAGGAGTATGTCATTGTGAATGTCATGCATTCAACTCCTCTTGGGACCACTTTTTCAATTTTTACATGACTTAATTACAACTTTAGTCCTCCTATTTTGTCATTTTTTTGGATTTGATTCCCCATTTTAAAAATTACGATTTTGATATTTTTTTAATGTTTTGTGTTAGATTTTAGTCTCCTCTTCA